TCCAGCTCAGACATTATATACTAACACAAAGAAAATATGAGGCATTATATATGGAACGCACCACGTACATGCCAAGTTTCATAAAGACTGGTTCAGGCATTCAGAAGTTGATGGAGGGGATATACACACAGACACATAGACAGCATGGTGATTTCATAAGCCTATAAAAAAAAACAAGGAAAGAAGGAAAATATCAAATTCCTTATTTTGAGCGAAGAACACAAATTACTCGTACGTATAAACGTCTGAAATTAAGATGTCCGTGAAATCATCTAACCTTAACAAGACTGAAACGAGAAATTTACGAGTTGGACATTACGTAACGAGGAACTCTGTGACTTGTACAGGTCTCTGTTAGCATTGACAGAGTAGTGAAACCTGGGGTGCTGCGAAGAGGCTAGGATTTGGGGATGGGTGTTACTTTATGCCTCTCAGAAACCAGATTATGCACCTGAGAAGAGTAGGGTGACAGATGAGCTGGAAAAGATTAGGAAGGAAGCGGTGGAAGGACCGAGGAAAACCACGAAAAGGTCACTAAGGATATATGGATTCCCGACCGGGATTCGAACCGGATATTAGTCAACAGCGTTACCGCTATGCCAGGATGGTAGAGACATCAAATTCACGCAGAATTGTGGAGGGGAAACCACTTGGAAGGGTGATATGGGATGAGAACACGAAGATGGACACTAGGGAAACAGATTGTGAGGATTGGATACGGACTGAACTGGCTTAGGATCGTGTCCAATGTCGGGTGTTGTTGAAACTGTGGGACTTACTACCAGTGAGTTAGTCGGAGCTTAAGGAAATCGGTTGTGAGGATGACACGTGGATGAAACTGTGTACAAATGGAGACCTTGGTATTAGTGGTGCTGAAACTCCGGGTTCTGCTACCAGCGAGTACGACAGGTCCTAGACTAACCGGTTGGCGCTACTTAGGGAAATATTTTTTTTTCCTGATAGTCATAAGAAATACGCAAATGAATTGGATGTGCAAAATGTAGATCTTCTTTAATGTTGAAGCACGTGGTACGTATAAGAAGCATTGCGCTATTTTGCAAGCTTGAAATATCATCCCTGAATTCGCCCGAAGATACTTAAGAAATAATAAATCTAAATTTTCAGGACGAGATCTGAAACCAGACCATCTGAATGAGAAGCAGGAAGCTCTGAGGAAAGTTGCAGGGGCTTTATTTCATTCGGTGATAATTTATCAGCTGCATAGGTTAATGTAGAGTCAATTTGGAGGACGATTTTGAAAGATGAATGGGATCTGGAAGTGGTTGTAGCATATTTTAAGGAATTAGGCCTGAATTCGTTGTGGGGTACTGATGAAAACAGCGGGAAATCCTAAATGGCCAACATTACGTAAGATGCCATATAAAATAGACCTGCCAATGACGTCACTTATGGTCTGAATTGGATGGGTGACCATTCGAGATCATTCGGCTTCAAGCTACGTGTATGTTCTCTCTGTCCTTATCAATCACAGTTCGTTGCAGTCGTTACCAAGTGGGCTAGAGCAGCGGTACAGCTCTACACACATGTGCTCGGTTCGAGTCTCAGTCGAAACATCAGCTGTCCTGACTTCGGATTGTCGTGATTTTTCTCAGTCCTTCCAGATAAATGTCGGGATGTCTCGATTAAGCCACGATTGCTTCCTTCCAAATCCTTCCCAATTCATCATCCATCAGTCATACTCCCATTTGGCGTCATAGTCTAAACACTAACTAGCTCCACAGAGTTGAGTTTTGAGAAGACTCCAGCCGCTCAGCTACTCAGCAATTTCTCAACATTTTATGACACTCAGAGGTTCACTACCCTGTTTCTAAAAATTAACAGCGTCGTTAAACAACTCATCGAAAAAATATAACATCCAGCATCTTCCTATAAGCTTATAAAAAACAAATTCCGTGGCCTGTAGTCCGCAAGCAAACTATACCGACCGAGCGACCGCCTCTTGTCAGCGAAGTTAGTACCAACTTTTGCGGATAGAGGTCGCGTAGTCAGCGCAACGGATCCCCACGGCCGTTAATCTCGGTTTTCCAGACTGGAGCCGCTATTTCCTTGAAATAGCTCCTCAATTATCCTCACGAGGCTGAGTGAATTCCGTTTCAGACCCATTATTTCTCAGAGAATCTGGTAACGCCGGGAATCGAACCCGGGAATTCTGGATCTGTAGCCAGGAACTCTGGCCACTAGACCACAGAGGCGGTCATAAGCTTATAAACACTCTGAAATTAGTTTTCTGTCACTTTTATCCTGAGGAGAGTAGCACATTCCTTCGAAACGTACGTCATTTTCAGTATTTCGACATGGATATATATATATCCAGATTCTGCGCTGAATAAGGGGCTGCTACGAAGACATGGTGTCCCATATTGCTAAGCTAAAAAGCTTCGATCTACGCTGAAGTGGTGACCCACATATTGCAGGTACTCTTCTTGAGCCCTCAGAATGAGGAGAAGGAAAACAGACAAGAACGGAATAAGAAAAAAGAATCATTGCTGCCATCTTTCTTTCAACATGTGAATCCCAGCAAAAATATACGAGGCAGGTTCCGTTCCTTTTCTTCAGTTTGGAACTGGAATTTTCTCTATACAGCCGGCAAAACGGTAACGCGCGCTAGGCCGGTCAAAAATTGAACTCAACATAGACGGAGACAAAATGGGTCCTGTGGGAAATGGGGATAAAATAAAGACAAGACGAGAAAAGAAGGAGTGTGTGTGGGGTTGGGAGGCTGAGTAGGCCTACGTTCAAGTTTGTCTTCGAAAAATAAGGTAGAAAGCTGACGCTGATATAAAAACGGAGACATCAAGAAAATGAAGAAATGTGAGCGAAGTTGAAAGAGGGAGAAAATGGCGGGCGGACGACGAGAATAATGCTCCAATTATACTATATATGGGAATATAAGATGCTATAATGCTTGCGATACGTTAAGTTTCATGTGTTATGAACACGGGCCTATGTGAAGAGGGCAGAAGATGACAGAGGGAGAGAGACAAGATAATGAAATAAGGAAAGGAAAGAAGTATGGAGAAAAAAAATTAAGAAAGAAAAAAATATGGAAAGAAATGGAGAAGGAAGAAGTAGAATGAAAAAGACGTAAATAAAAAGGATACAGAAAGAAGAGAACTGTAGGATGGGAAAAGAAAGAAATGAAAAATAGGGAAAACAGAAGGAAGGAGAGGGAAAGTAATATGCTAGAGAAGGGCACAGAGAGGGAAGAAGAGCAAATGAAAGAAAGAAATAAGGGGGGAAATACAAAACAAGAGGACAAATGGAGGAGCTAGTTAAGATTCTATGAACATGCTAAACATAATTACAATTAAAATAAAACTAATGTGAGGTTTGAGGTTCTCATGGCAGTGATTATGAAAAGTACTATGCAATGTGGCCCAGTACAAGCCTACTGACGTTTTGGAGGTACGTACTGCCTCCATTTTTAGGGCTGAAGAACAAACTGAGTTAAGAAGAAAGCAGCCAGCACCTTTAATATTTTTGTCTTACTCTTTGACCCTGACGACGGAGGCAATACATTTGGCATGTAGACAGAACTCGAACAGATTACAAAGCATTACATTCCATAAGATACTACCCTTAAAACAGACTTGTTTGTTCAGTGAAACCCCGAGAACTGAAAGGGTTATGACGTACAATCTAAAAGAAATTTTCTTCCAAATTTCTAATTCCCAAAGCTTACGCTACCCTCACAGCAAGCATCCTACATATAACACTTAATGATGGAGTCTCTTGTGTAAGCACATTGTCTACTGAAAATCAACATGGCACCTGTCATTTGTCAGACTCAAACAAGATAAACAAACTTTTCTCAAGAAAAACATAATCTCAAAACTTAATGCATACTATAGAACTGTATTCTATGAGGTTCTCTTTTAATATACTACACCTCTGTATGGGTTTATGGTAATGCTCTAGGCTTGGATTCGAGATATGCTTGGTTCAGACTTCAATTAGGACACCAGCTAGCTTTACTAAGGTCTTTCATCAGTTAATTCTGTGCCTTCATGCAAATTCCCAGATTGTTCCTCTATTAGACAACAAACTGCTTCCTTCCAAATCATTATTCATCGGTCACAGGCACAAAAGGAGCGCTATTGGGAGAGTAGAAAGTGCTTTGCCATATGGTGATTTTATCTTCGTAGAAAAGTCGATGGATTTAATTTGTCCCAGTCACTGAGACCGGTGGTAGGTCCACAGTACACCACTGATCCTTTTAAAGCCATTCAGAAAGCCATGACCATAATGCTAGAACAAAAACCATTCAAACCGAGAGATTCCTGATAACCACCAGCTCTAACCATGCAAAACTGAAGAACTCTATTGTATGCCACATCAAAATTTGGCACTGATAAAGAATATTGTAAGATATTTCATTGCCAGACCATATTTCTTGCACAAGGCGTTTTCTAAGAGGCCCCATAATATTTAGGTGCCATCTCTGGGTACAGAGGCCAGTCAGCAACCCAGTTATCAGCATACACTGTTTCCTGTCCAAGGCCAATAAGTCACTATACAGTTCATCTGCAGGCCTTTCAAGGACAAGCTTCAAATGTCTCATACCCAGTGTGGCACAGAAATATTTGCAGTGCCTCTCCATCAGCCACTTCTTAGCCCTGACCCTACCAGTATATAAAATCAATGGATGTGGATGATGACTTCTCCTTTGCTTTTGCTACAACCCTGTGTGGCTCTTGGCCTCATCCATGGTCCTCCTCCATAGGGTCTGGAGGTTTCATAACAGCAGATATTTCTAGGGTGGCACTGTGCCCCATGCCCATGCCCAACCTGCAAAATTACGGACTACATTTCGTCTGGCCCATACCCTTTGACCTGTCTGGGTGGCCTTACCAGGGGCTTATGCCCCCACCCGCATAGCTCTTCAGATCACTGGGGCCCCCAGACTTCCTCTCCACAAATAAGTCGGCAGTCCTTGAGGATGTGATGATGATATAGGGTCATAAAATGAGTAATTCAAATATGGTTACAAAGTTTTTAATGCAATTGATGTTCTCCCATTCTACTTAAAACATAGCAGATATAGTATGTATACATTAAACAGAAAAATACATGTAGTAATTATGATCACAGTCACATTTCTTGCAGTTACCCAGAGAAGCTGAACAGGAATTACCCGTACAATTTACTGATCCTCCAATAACATTTTACTTGTTTACACTCTCAAAATATTTCTTTGAGCCTTTAGGATCAGGTGTGATTGTTGGAGAATCTGGTTTCCAGTTCGCTGGACAAACTGTAAACAGAACATGGAAGGGTTAATACAATTATGAGAAAAGCTCTGCAAATATCTTGTGATGATTAATTCCTGAAAATGTTTCCATCTACACAGTAAGGCTAGTAAAAATACATAAATTAATAACTACATGGTGTGTCCAGGATCCATTAGGACTCTTTTTTTTTTATTTTTCCTTGCAATGCCATCTGTTGGCAAGTTGTGGCATTAAGATTCTTGAAGTTTCAGCTGTGGCTGTCTATAATTTCAAAGCGCAAGCATCACTGCATCATGTGTTCTAAACTTGTATGTAACAGTACTGTTCTGATGCTCCACGGAAAATGGCAGTTGAACAGAGAGCCAACATCAAATTTTGTTTGAAAACAAAACAACAGACAAGTGTACAAAATGATGAAAAGTGTGTACGGTAGTGACTGTTTGAGTCACTTGAATATTTTTCGATGGTATGCTGTATTTCGTGATGGCAGGGAGGACACTGAAGACCCTCCACATGTATCAAAGCCGAGAACAAGTCGCATTGAATAAAATGTGAAAAAAGTGACCGAAATCATTGCATCAGACAGATGTGTTTCTGCAAGACTCATGGAGGAGCTTTTGGGAATACAAAAAAGTACTGTGCATCAAATTTTTATCGAGGATTTGTGCAAATGGAAGGTCTGTGCATGGTTTGTACCACATGTGCTGTCAGGCAATGAAGAACATGCCAGTGTGGAACAATGCAAAGACATGTTACGGTCAGCCCAAAGTGATAACAAATTTAAAAAACTGATTATTACTCGTAACGAGACATGGTGTTTTCAATATGAGCCTCTCACAAAGAGGCAGAGTGCAGCCTGGTTGACCCCAAAGAAGCCGAAACCAAACAACGTGTGCATGCAAAAGAGTCAAGTAAAGACACTGTTAACCGTTTTCGATTCCAAAGGAATCACTCACAAGGAATTTCTGCCAGGTCACACAGTGAATTCTGATTATTATCTCAGAGTCCTCAATCGTTTGTGGGCGAGAAGTCTTCGAATTCGACCTGAATATCGAGAGCAAGATTCCTGGTCGCTCCTCCACAATACCCCACCCCACAAATCAAAGATAGTGCGCGATTTTTTGGCCAGAAAAGCGATCACACTCCTTGATCATCCTCTGTATTTGCCAGATTTGGCTCCAGCAGATTTCTGGTTGCTCCCAGAAGTTAAGTTCATGGTGAAAGGAGACCGTCACTACACCATCCAGGACATCCAAAGGGAATGTGATGCAGTTTTAAACGCGATTCCACAAAAGGAGTACAGTGACTGTTTTCGAAAACGTTTCAATCGATTCCAGCTATGTATTGATTCAGAAGGAGACTATTTTGAATAAAAAGAGTGAAATTTTGATAATAATTCAGGTCTTGTATTTTTAATGAACACAGTCCTAACAGAACCTGGACACACTGTGTATAACGTTACCTTTGTGCCCACACACTTCTGGTACTGTTCTAAGACAAAGATGTAACATTATCTTCTTACCATTATCGATAATCATTAAATGCGAGCTATGACTTACCCTCTCCATGTTTTTCCACAAACTGAAAAGCTTTAACAAGCCTTAATGTTTCATCCACACTGCGTCCAACTGGAAGATCATTCACTGTAATCTGGATGAGGATTCCCTGTTAAAGAACTCATATTAACAGACAGGACTGGAAAGATATGCTCCAGTTTCAAGTATGTTAAATATATGTGCTGTGTGTTCCTTGTGATTTCACTTCTCACTAGCCTTCACATACATTTATTACACATACCAAATCATTGGGAGCAAAGAATCATGCAGAGTACATTACTTCAAGTGGTAAAACTTCTGACTTGCATTCGGAAGGAACCTGGTTCAAACCTTGGCTGGGACACTGACTATCCTGACTGATGATTTCATGGTTTTCCTCAGACCCTCCAGGTAATGAAGGGTAGTTTCTTATATTATGCCACGACCACTTCCCTCCACAACCTTCCACTGCCAACCACAGAGAACTTCAACACTGATACAGCTCCAGTGGGTTAAAATTCAACATCCCAGATGCACAGCTAGATTATGAGTACCACCAACATAAGACACAAATTTCCCATAATGAGGCACCATTGTACAATCACAATTTTAATAATTTTACTGTATGTTATAGCATAAGAACATTTCACATTTTATACAGCGAAAATTTGGAGCTACGCCATTCATAATACAACAAAAATAAGGCGCCAGTAAAACATAAAGTTCCCTTATATATTTACAAAAAATTGGCACAAAGACACTGGACACAAAGACATGTGGATGGTGTACAGTCACGTTCCTGAATATATCACCTATGCACTCTTATTTAGGGAGGTGGTCTCCGCAAATAATCGAAATTTAAACAAGATCATTAAAACTGTTTCAAAAGAAATCACGATTTTCTGTCTTGGTGTCTATCTGAAGGGCCCATATTTCTTGCCAAATAAAATGAGGAAAGGAAAACAGAAACTTACCATAAGAGATTCCTGTAACATCTTCATCTCAAGAAATTCACTTTACAAAAGACAAGAATGCAAAGACACATTCAAAAAGAATACACATATTCTCCAGTTGTGTACTGAATTATTTTACTTAGCTTGATGATTTACTGCTGATACAGATATCACACTATACAGGCAGAAATTAATTTTCCTTTCATTTCATTAAATATACATCAAACTATAAAACATCTCAAATAAAGCTGCAGACCTTAACAAGATTCATACTTCATGTCATATACAGTTTGAGTCCAGTCTCTCAGACCCTCCAGAGTGACAAGAGAGAACGAACAGTAACTGCCTAGAGAGGCCAGCTACAGAACCAAATGCCTGCCATCCCATCACCACCTGTGCTACTGGTTTCATATGCCTTCTGCGATTTTAACCCTGGGACCCAAATCTTACAAATTTTTGTTGTTGTATTAATGAGTTATTTTTATGTAAATTAGTTCAATTTGTACTGAACCAGTACAAATGTAAACTAAGTTTACTCACCACCTTTAATATAAGATTTGAGTGTAGATAAAAGTTACTCTGTTCTTTGTCAGCACAACACTATTTCAAGGAGATGGAACTGCTGTCTAAGATGACATGTTTCAGAACATGTGTGTCATCTTCAGGTNCATAAGTGTATGTGAATACCTTGTACTATGATGCAATAAAACCACATTCCATGAACTTTATCACTCTACCACATATATATGGTATATTCCTGGTACTCATTTCTGTTAGAGACTGAGTCGACCCCAGGGCCATAGTGTGGCTGGAAGAATTTCAATTGAAAAAATCCAATGACCTCATCAGGACTTGAACCCACGACCTTCCGGCTTGTAGCATAATGCCTCAACCAAATATGCTACTGCACGGAAATTAATTAAATAATTTTCTTGGGGAATAAAGTCCGGCCAGCATGTAAGGCTGACAACCTTACCGCCATCTTTGAGCCAATTGTCTAGATAATGTGGGACCTCAATGTCTCACAACCCTATGAGCCTTCACAGCCTGTTACGGGGATAGCTTTACTTTTTATATATGGTATATAAAAAAATTGTGGATTCATTAGGCTTACATGTAAATTTACGCTAAATTATATCAATTATGATAAGTTGATTGTAACTATAAACAGGATTTCAAGATGGCACAAATATTCCGAAACATGTCATCTTAGAAAACAATCCCATGTGCTGGATGTTGTTGCGCTGAGAGGAGTACAGCAAATATTATCTACAGTGATTTACACAAGAGTCTGCAACAAACTGTGAATAAGATTTGAGGTTCTCATACTGATGGTTCCAGAGATGTGGCACTGCGTATTTTAGTAGACAGATGATAACACCTTCAGGATTACCTCAATTCTTGTACAATAATTTAAATTACAGTTTCAATTTGTATGAGACATGAAGTACCCTAACGCCATCTATGAGCTGACTGTCTAGAAAATTTGGGAACCTCAACATCTCACAACCCTACAGGCCTCCACGGCCTGTTACAGCAATACCTTTACTTTACTTTACTTACTTTTATGAGACATTAAGTTCTCACAGCAGTGAATATTAAGATTGTGGTCTTCTGGAATACGATACTGTGTAATCTGATAGATGTGTATGAACCTTTCAGATGAACCTGCTGATCCAAGAATGGTTGGAAGCAGATTTCTCTAAAATGTTGGTATTCATCTGCCAAACTACACAGTGTCACAACCCAGAAGACAGTAAACTTGAACTTTCAGTGTAGGACACAAACACCAAATTTCATTACAATCTGTTGAATAGTTTCACGAATGAAACACACAGATGGATGGACATATCCTTCCATTACTTTCTCATTTCATGCACTTCATGCAAAGACTATACTACAATTTAACTAATTTTACCACTAAGAAGCAATACTTTTATGTGTCCCAATGGATCAAAGTCCTGAGACACTGTACCTTGGGATTGATGATGAACAGTCCTCGCAGAGCCACTCCATCTTCCTCGACAAGGATGTCATAATCGCGAGCTATTTTCTTGCTGAAGTCTGATAGTAGGGGATAGGTTATTGGACCTAGTCCACCAGCCTACATCAGAAAGAACAAATCTACAAGAAACTCACTAGGATTAAACTGGACACCTTCCCAGTTATAATTTTTATAAGAAATAATGTAATAAGAAATAATGTCACTGCATTTCCACAGATGTGGTGCCTTTCATAAACTTTTTGAGACACTTAAAGAACAACAGATAATTTTTCCTTTGTTTATTCAATTAATTTCAATAAGCACATACAGATGTTTCATAATCACAGACATGATACTATGCATTTGTTGTATGATTATTTCATGAGCCAGACCACGTGCAGATTTTTCCACTTCTCTTCCAAACAGAGTATAAATTTAATACAGGCAACATACACCATGGTTGATATCACACATTAAACTACAGATTCCTGCCACTGGCCATCAATACCACTGTATCACAAAGAGGCAAAATGGAAGTCCCATATCATGTGTGTCCCCGTCTGAGACGTGGGTTCTTTCCTTTTTTCCTAGGAAGGTAAAGGCAAGGATTGTTAAGGAAATACCTGGAAGCATCAGCCACAATAAAGCATTGTTAGCAAGAGTATTGTAGTTAATGTTTACTCACTTTTCGAGGTGTGTTAATCCAACCAAGATGGCTGAAATGCGAGTCTGTAGAAACACCAACAATTTCAGTGTTAATTGCTTTGAAATCTTGGATCCTCTCACTGAATGCAATTATTTCTGTTGGACATACAAATGTGCTGAAAAGAAAACAATTGTCAATAAATATCTTTTACAAACCATCATTTTAGTAATACAATCGCTCTCACTACACAATATTCATCCAGTGAACGTCTTCAACTTAATAATAAGATCAAGATGAACAAATTCTTGTGTCTGCCTTCATACTTCGCCTGATCTTCCTGTTTCACACTGTCTATTTCAGCGTATGCTTCAGTCAGTCTTTTTACAAACACTTATGTGCACTGGTTAATTCTCTGCTTTATATTCAGCTCGATCTTAGTTAAAATCTCACACCAGGAAACTATCTCGATTGAAGCTATTTTTGTGGCTTTCGCCACTCACTGGGACAATACCTTACAGCACAGTGTAACTTCTCTCATCAATGTTGCAGCTCTTTTTAAGGGGAGAGTGGAAACTGATAGCTATGTACGATTTTATGGTTATATCCTGAAACAGTGTTAACTCTTAACTCCATTAATTACTTTTTCTTCATGCACCATTTTTTCCAAATATCTTCTACAGTAGAAAATATTAATTAATTACAAGGATTTGGAATGGATGTGGAATTAGAAGCAGTTTTCCAGATGAAAAGGCATCACCTTATTGGATTCAGTGTATTATTTCAGTTCAGACCATAAGGGAGAAAACATTATCAATTATGAGAGTCTTTTCCATGTTTGAAAGGGAGCTAGAGTTCAAAGTTTCAGTAGTGTAATGCGAGAAGTGACATTTTTCCATTCAGTCTCAAGCCATCACAATTTCTAGAATTTACATTTGCAGCCAATTAGGTTTAATAAATTTCTATGCTCTACAATTCAATTCAATTCAATTTATTTACATTCCGTAAAATCCAGATACAGGTAGACACCATAGGATATGGAACAAGTCAAATACAGTGATTCTACAAGGGGAAAGTTGATGTCCAAGGATTTTATTCAACTTCCTTCTCAAAAGGATAAAAATTACTTCAAGAAACTTAAGCATAAAACATGATTCAGCAGCATTCACAGCTTCAAAAAAAAATTGGTCATGTATAACAAACCGTGTGGTGTTTTCATAAACCTCAGCACTCTGTACTTCAGGTTGTGGTCTTCTGTGTTATGAAACCAAGTACTCTTGGAGACAGAACTCAATGTCTCGGAACAGTGCTGGTATCCGTCTACAATACTACATGGTGTCAAACTCAGAAGACCACAATCTGAACAGTCACCACTGTGAAAATCTGAAAACTAACAACAGTAGCTTATAACTTCACCTTCTTGATGTTATAACTGATGAAATTACATCTTAGAGTGGAAGATTTTACAATTGCATCTAATAACTTCAGCTATTAATAAAATGGTGACCAGGTATAAAATTCCTTGAGATATCATGTTTCTGCTGGCAAATGGTCTGTTAGGTTATGTCTTCAGTTTATCATCCATATCATCCTCTCTGTATAATCTACGAAGCTCACAAAGAATCTTTTGAAAAACAAAGAAAGAGTTTACATGTACATGAAAGTGGGCCTAGCAGGGCATGATCTGAAGCCCAAAATATTTTATTAGTTGAGAAATGTTAATCACTAAGCCCAACATACTTACAAATCAAGAGGGTAGAAAAAGAGGACAAGATATTTTCCTTTATAATCTGCTAATCTGATTTCTTTGAATTCTTGATTCACTACAGCCATCCCACGAAAATCTGGTGCCGGTTGTTGCACTCGGGGGGAACACAACTGAACACCTAAAAAATTGTCAAGTATTAATTCACTAAGAATGCAATACATGTATACTAATAGGTGGTACATGTTGCTTCACAGTAACAAAATGTTCTGTTTACAGCAAATTATTGCTCCAGCTCTTAACAAACTACCAAGCCAGGAAATGTATGCAGAGCATAACAAAAATCTGGGATAGCTCAGTCAGCATAGTGATGGGCTATGGGCTGAATGCCCAGAATACCATTCCTGGTAGGGGCATGATTTTTCTCTTCTCCATAGCATCCAGACTGACTCCGGGGCCCAACCAGCCTCCTATACAATGGATACTGGGGGCTCTTTTGCTGGGAGTAAAGTGGCCAGAGTGTGAAGCTGACCACTCACCTCCAGCTAGTGCAGAAGTCAAGAATGGTGGAGCTATATCTCCACTCTCCAATACATATTAATGGTCTGGTGCTTAATAGAGAATAACAATTCTTGTGCATTCAGTCTAATCTTGTTTATCTGAAAAAATCTTTTTTCTCTACAACTTTTGTCCTAAACAATTGTTGGCAACCATAAATATTAGGAACTTCTGCCAAAGTGTCTGTTATTGTTGTTCAAGTTCAATGAAAACTGGAGTATGTAAACAGATTTCAGTAAAGTTCCCAATATACAAATCCATGAATATTTGTTCAGCTGCTGTACAGTTATTACATGTAAACACATGGTCACATTCAGACTTGGCATAACTATTAAACACATTTTTACAATTTTCATTGCCAATATGAACTGCATGGTGCAATATTCTTCGGAAAGTTGATAAATGCTCAGCTAATCAAGAAATTTCTTAAACGAACTGATGGTTCAGTATCATACATATTTAATGTAGCACAGGCTATTCAAGTTTTTTATAAAAGGTTAATTAATTCTATCCAGTGTGACTTATGAAGTTTTTTCCTCCTTTTTAATATATCATTTTATTTTATTTACAATGATACTCATTGTATCATGATAACACTGTATGTATATATTAATATTCACAAAACATATTGTAATAGTGGTTTCTAATTGTACTGATATCTTTCTGAAGATGGTTTATAAGACCGAAACATGTTACGGATAAAATGCTAAAAAGGAGAAGAGAAAAAACTCCATCAGTCACATTAGACAGAATTAATTAACCTTTTATAATATTGTTAGTGTGATGGACCAGGATGAAACAAATCAAAGTTTATTACTCTCGGCTGCATGGAAATAGCAGTTACTCCACTTACCAGAACTAATGCTTCGACTGATGCATGAAAGACTGGATTCTGACAGTTTCTGTAAAAAGTGCAATTTTGTTAGCTGTTAGAAGTAAAAACTGCTGTGAAGAAAATTTCATAACTGATTTGTAACACAGATCAGCCACTGTGTGAAATCCATGCAGACACCTCTGTTGGTGGGAGAGACTCAACCAGCAACTGAACCTACTTAGACAGAAGATATGCCTGGCACAGTGACAGCACTAAAATGCGAACCAAGACCCACGATTCATTAACCTTTTCCAGGCTTGCTATATATAGTACATCTTCCATAGCTTCTCACCTCAGCTCATCTTCGAATTATGCTTTAAATGCTGTCAGTAATGTAATCAAATCTGTACTGCTGTAGAAAACAAAAAGGGGTGGGGGAGGGGGGCAGATCTCAATTCATTACGCACTGAATGAAACTTATCCCATCTTTAACGTTGCCGTAATGTTGAAAACAAAATAATATCAAAACATAGCCAAACCGCATTCGGGAAACGATGTATTAAGTAGCATATATTCCGATTAAGCAGTAGTACAGTATGTGCATGATGAGAGGGGAGGGAGTTACTACAATTTATTACAGACGCTCGAGAAGTGTAAGTCAATTTCGTAAAAGTAAGGTTATGGTCTATACTCACAACAGCATGTCTTCCCACAAACGTTCTTGCAACAAAGTTTACAATTCCTGACATTGTTCAAAAATATTCCAGTGAAATAAATGATAAAACTGAAGTAAGGGCGTTAAATATTACTGTATGGTAAACAACAACGGGGTTACAACTATTACATAAGGTACAAAGTCACCATAATACGTAGTGAGCGTTATTCTATTGGCAGAATTCAAGCGCATTCAAGTGAGTTTAGAAACGGACACATACGATTTTATCTCATCAATAAGGTGTACCAAAATAACCAAAACTCACAGCTGAAGTGTAATCATCGAAAAAATTGGGAATTAGGTATACTGCAAGAAAACTGTTGAAGCTTCTTGCAGTAGCAGTGCCGATGGTAATTAATTTGTGCATAGTACATCGTAGTTTCGTAGTTTGACTTTCCTGAGAACGTGGGTGGTTGCTCCGTGTGTCGCAGATATTGAATTTTGTGGAGTGCTCAAAAATCGATTTTAGGTGACTAATTTTAATGATCCGGATAGCTCCGTTAGTGTAATTACAGTAGTTACGAAGTAGATGGTAGGAATTGTATTGCAGGCAGAGGCAGGAATTTCTCTGCATTGCGTTCAGGTTTGTCGTGGGGTACTCAAAGTCCCTTGTCTGATAGGTGTAGAGATTGGGGGCTCTTTCCTCGAGAGTACCAGCGACCGGGGTCTGAAGCTGTCCACTCACCTGCATCTAATACTAAAGTTAAAAATGCAGTCTACAATCATGTGCCTGTGCAGTAATGCTCAGTGAAGCATAGGGACGTTTACCTATTACAAATTTCGTGGCCCCCATATTGCACTGGGGTGAATCCAGTTAAACTCTTCACCGTCTTCTCCATCACGAAACCCAGAAGCAGTTGAGTCCAACATTGGATTAGACATAACACCCCACCCCTGTCATTAATAATAATATACATTTTAACCATGAAGTTCAGAGAGAAGTAACTTTGTAATATCTCAAACCTGGTAATTAGTATTAAACAGGAAACAACTGTAGCAGAATCTGCTCATTGAAGATAACAAAACCAAACGTAGTGATGGCTTTTGACATGCTTATAAACCCTATCTTCATTTGGTTGAAGTGAAGTGAAAACAAGTGGATTTGAGGTTCTCACAGAAGTGACTGTAAAGATTACTGTCTCCTGGGATTGATACCATGAAGTGTGGTAGAAATTTAGTGATGTTTTGGAGGAACAATCTGCCTCCATTTCTACGGCATTGTTGTGTGATAAGAGCTAAACCAATCGCCATCAGTCAGGCTTTTACTACTGGTACTATGTGCTGCCTCACAAGTGTAAAAATGTTGTCAGGTTTCACTGTGGAGGAATGTCATGTTGAACAGTAGAATTATTAGTAGCAAAGGGAAGAGTAATTGGAATAAGCAAGCAGTAATAACTGGAACACAAATAAAATTAAGTGTATGGTCTCAGCCACGCCATAGCTCAAGCAGTTAGTCGCTGGCTTCCCACCGCGGCAGCCTGGGTTCAATCCTGGGTCTGGTCAAGTGGGATTTGTGGTGGACAAAGTGGTGCTGGGGCAGGTTTTCTCTGAGTACTTCAGTTTCCCCTGCCAATCTTCATTCCACCAATTGCTCCACAATCACCCTCACCTATCATCTGGGGCTGGTACAATAGGCCAGAAGTGGCTGCAGTACAAGGGACTTAGTCCCACCCCACTAGCAATAAAAGAAAAAAAATAGTATGGTCTTGTAGGCTGTAATGCTATGTAGTTCAGAGAAAGCCCCCTGTTTTGGAAGAACATCTCTCATCTTGAGTGAAAACAACCCAAGCAAGAAACCAACAGAATCAGATGGCTACTGAGAGAACCTCAAATCCAACAGAAATAAAATATCTTCATAATATTATAATCAGCTACACAGTGTCATATGGCAAGGAAGCAGCTTGTTAACTTCACAGTCTGTCTGCACAACAATCACTCGCCTGCCCTCTTGTGTGACTCCGATTTTTAGTATATAGCATTATATTTTTTATTTTCAGCAGTTTGTAACTAGAATATGGACAGTCAGGCAACAATTGAAGGTCGAAAATTAGATGTTGTGGATGATGCATGGCGTGAAGACCGCCTTCCCAATGAAGATATAAATGTCCCCCCTGCAGAATTACCTGACCCAGAAGCAGATAATGGTGATTCCCATATGACCTTGAAGGAACAGGAACAAAAATGGACAGATATTGCTTTAGGCATTCTAAGTGAGCAACATCAAGGATTTTCAAACTAACGTGGTAAAGAATACATATGTTACAATGCTAATTGTCTGGTACAGCTTTTCTGTAAATTATTATGTATGTTCATTAAAAAAAATGTGTAGGAATATTTTTCACTTCAATTATATATCCATTTGAGGTGTGTATTGTTACAATACAGTGATTAGACTATGCTGTACTAGAAAAGTTTAAAGTTTTTTAATCGAATCTAAACTTCAGAAAATCCAAATTCTGTGCCATGTAAGGCTGCAGAATAGAAAGAAAAATAATACATGACTGTGCAATGCTATATCTCTGGTATAATTAAATTGTCAAGAAGAAATTTGCATCTGTATTAAATGAGTATCAGTATTGATGAACCATGTAAAATTGCAAATAAGCATATAGAAATTAAACATATTCAAAATGTATGCTTACCTATCCAGTCTTGTACTGCATTTTATAATTATTCCAGTACTGAGTGAAAGACATGACAGTAATCATGCATTAAAATTAGGAAGTTATGTTTATTTTGTACAAATTATCATCTCAGATTTTTTTTAGGAATGAGCTGTTAGAAATTGGAATTGCTGTTTTATTCTAATATTATTTAACAGTGCTGCTCTAATTGCAGAGGTTATATAGTACTGCATGGGGACTTGGTCATTACTTTCTTCAGTAGTAACTAAACATTCATTTTGTGTTCCCTAACATATGTACAGTACACATCATTATCACGTTCAGGAAGCTGTGACTAATGATTCCGAATGAAGCTGCCATTGCCTAAGAGATGTAAGAAATAAGCACAAGACATGTCACACAGCTGAAGAATTATCAGAACATAACAAACACAGCAATTCACTAAGCCCAGAAGTTCTCTGGGCTGTACTGAGTAGGAACAGAGAGAATCACAGAAAAATGTCGGGAATACTGCTGAAGAGTTTAATGCTGAGATGCCGAGGGTCTGAAAGGAAGCAGGCATGGCCTACTGAAAGTACTGCTAAAGCATTTGCATGTAGTGACTTAGAAGAACAGTGTTATTGTAGGTGGTAACCTGAATAAGATTCCATTTCTCCCAAATACAAGCCTGGCATATTACCACAACTTCTTTAGAAGTGTGATGTTTTGTTACAGAAAAATGGAATTTCCAGAGCTGGGAAAAATGTGTGGACTTTTAGAATGTAAACAATTAGATTTTCTACCATTCAGATGCATTCATTGTCAAATAATATTTTGCAAAGATCATTATATGCCAGATAAACATAAATGTACACCAGATGACACTACAGTAGTCAGTAAAGCCACTGAACCCATGAAGAATTATCACTGTATGTATGACAACTGCAGTGTGTCAAGTCTAGCTGAAATGTGCTGTCAGGTTTGTAAGAAGCATTTCTGTCTTCAACATCGTCATCACGGTTGTGTTGATAAGGACCAGGCAGTGAGAGACAAGGAGCGAGAGAAGTGGGAAGCACCAAGGAAGCAGTTTGAAATAGCCAAGGCTGAAGCAGAGCGACAGGTAGGGAACTAAGACACAACAGAAGTGTCAGGCATAATTTTATAGGTAGGGATGATTTATTGCTGGGTTTGTGGTCAAATCAATGTGTCATTTGTTTGCAACTGTTCACAGAGCAAGCAATTATAATAAAAACAGACTTAATCTGCCACTTTCTAACTATGGAAG